CCCACATGCCAAACGGCCACCTCGAATCCACTTCTGCCCACCATCCTACACGCGGCTAAGCGTTGCTTCGTGAAAGTTCGGTTTTTCCGCGATAAATTTATGAATGGACGGTGCTTCGGTTATCATAGGTGACATTCGGGGCATCGCCTATGCCCTTATCTTCCATTATCTTTCCTAGCACGGCTAACGCCGTCATGATGGAGCCGGCTCCATCAAGTTTTTACAACGCAGCTCAGTTACTAAGTGTAGTAACAGTACCAAATTTGGGCATATGACATTAATTATCAGCGCTCCAAGTGGTGACGGAAACGATAGCCAAAATGCTTACCCGCGTGTAGGATGGTGGCAGAAGTGGATTCGAGGTGGCGTTTTGGCATGTTGGAGGGGAGGTTTAGGAGGCCGATATCTCCGCCTAGGAGTATCGTATTGACAAGCGGTTGGTCTTGTTTTAGAGAGCAAAGAATTCTTGCTTAATGCAATACATCAAATTATTCTAGACTCGCCAGGCAAGTGAATAATGTAGTCGTGAATAGCACTATTTTCCCGTTTTTCCGTTGTACACTCTAGGTATTATCCGCTCTTGATGTATATATATGTGCGTTAGATAAAGATTGAAATGAACGCTACGACGCATGCGCCGACTAAAATATGGCGGCATGCGCGGCGTCACGTGAGCAGAATATATATATCATTTGCTGCAATATATGATGTAATCGGATGTGAGAACGGTTGATCGCTAGTTTGCTGGTTTTACTAGTGGCTCCGCTCTCACTAGCTATAGTCATTGAACTCCTGGCTGTTCGAGAGAAGGAGGGTTGGTTGTTTCTAGTCAATGGTCAGAGGATGGGGGTAGTCAAAGTACTTCATTGCAAAATCCTAAAGGGGAAAAGTTTATCGTAACTCGTGACGCAAACTTTCAAGGAAACGATGCATCATAATTAGGAGTGACGTCAGCTAATAGCTTTAATAATAATCGCTATAATTCATCACTTTTGATTATAATGCATATCTAACTATTTTTATATATTTATTATATTTATTCAATGACTACTAATGAACCTATATTTATTTTTAGCTTAACGAATTTCTGGGGGCATGATGATAGTTTTGTTAAATTTTAATGTGGTCCTTATTTATATTCTGTATACCAGTGAATAGATTGCGGTCGACAACGAGGTAGGACAAACCACGAAATGGCTTCACCTTGAATTGTTACAATATTTATTTTTGTAAAATAAAAATATACGTTTATGCTATAAGAATTTTGATAAATCTCTCTCTCGCCTTCTCTCTCTTTTTCTCCCTCTCCCTCTCTCTCTCGCACGCTCTCTCTCTCTCTCTCTCTCTCTCTCTCTCTCTCTCTTCTCTTTCTCCTGCTATCTCCCCCTCTCTCTCGCTCTCTCTCTTATAATATATATATATATAATATAGCCTATATATATATATAAATAGGCCATATATATATATATATATATAATACATGTCCATGTAGAGAGATATATGACTGATAACAACTACCCCCTGCTCTATATCCCTGCTCCGTGTTTGTTTTTCCGGGCGGCAGGCTACAGTAAATGAATCTGCACCCGGATCTGTACCAGACACGCGAACATTAAGCAAAGATCTTATAATAATACTAATTATTATTTGAGGCTGTTTAGTGCAAGGAAAATCACATCCGGTAAATCACAAGGAATGCGCGTCTGCTGTCGTCTCGTTTCCAAGGACTCGCGCCATGCGCATGCGCGGCAACATCGCAGGCGCTAACAGCAAAAAACGCGAACGCACATAACAATTCCTAAAGAAAACAACATGAACAAGTTTTTAGTGTTGCAGTGTTGCGCATATTTTTTTAACGAGAGATAATAATTATGATCAAATAAAAGAGAGGAGAAAATGGTATCTTGTAGTTCCTGTATTGTAGTGGTTATCACGTTCGCTTTACACGCGAAAGATCTCAGGTTCGAACCCTGGCAGGAACATACAGAAAACTATTTTGCATTTTATATCGACGGGAAATCACGTGTTTTCTCTCATGTTCTGGTATTGATTGCGAGAGTGTCCGGTACGTGTCCTGACACCCACTCTCGCGCCAACCCGCCTGTACAACAAAGACTTCCTTTTGGGCTTCTCTTTTGCAAAAACATCATTGAAGGATATCGCACAGCTTCCTGTGAGGGGAAAGGCATGCCACGACTCCGTCACGTGACATCGCTGTTGCCATGCCTTGGCCCAAACTCCACGACAGATGGCGCTCTCGCTCTGGCTCAATACTATATGTACTGGTATTATCCTGAGTGTGGGAAGGAGCACTGCATGCAGTTTGGCCTTGGCCATGCCAAGGTGATCCGGAATCCTGTTGCATTCTCGTCGAATCTGATCGCAGAAATCCGGCGCGTGGATGACGTCACATCAGTGAGAAAAACATTTTTACGGTCGCTATTGTCGGGCCGTGAACTCTTTGCCTATAATTCTATCTGTCACGCGAAGGACTAAATTATTATATGGAGCAACAGCTGCTGCTGCTGCTGCTGCTGCTTCGATTGCGTGCGTGGCGCGGGTGTGAGGCAGCTGCAATTCTGCACTCATAAAAAACTATGCACAAAGCTACATGAACGACTGCACATAGATAATCTGTAATATATATCTATATCTATATCTATATCTATATCTATATCTATATCTATATCTATATCTATATCTATATCTATATCTATATCTATTGACTCTACATATACTCTACACCCTCCACACACTTATGCTGCGCACACACCCCTCTAGTGCGGACTCTACATATACTTTACACCCTCCACACTCTCTCTACACACTGCTTCTGCTGCTGCCGCACGTCAATGCGGATGCGTGGTATCATGCTCGTCGGAACTCTACAGATATGTAGATAGCAGGGAGTGGGAGACGCAAAGGCAGAAGGGCGAGGAGTGGTGGTGCATGGCGACCTTCAAGATGGATGGTAATGAAATTCACCGATTATGTGTGCGTGGATGTTGCTACGGGAAGACGTACATATAGACAGCAATCCTCCACCGATCTCTCTGTGCGAGCTCTCAGCATTGTCCCCCTCCCCCCACCTCCCTCCCCCCGGCGGGCTACACATACACTATCCTTGCAGGTACAGTCCGTGTGCTTCTAATCTGCATCAGAATTGGTGCGAGCAAGCGGTGACGGGGCGAGAACAAGTTTCATTGAAACCCCATTCAGTGGTCGCAATTGTCACCCGCGTCGCAATTGTCACCGTATTTGTCACCGCAATTATACGTAACTGCGGTCGCCGTGCCTGGATTGCTGTCGTGGGCCGTAACTGCTGGCGGCGGTTCCGCTTGCTTGACTGACAGGCCGCTTTCACCTGCGCGCGCCGGCAGACGTAGCTAATCCTACCCCCCCCCCTACACACACCCTCCCTCCTACTCACACTTAGGGTCCCTGTATATTGTATATAGGGACCTTACTCACACCCTCCCCTCCCCCTAGCCTCCCCCTTGGTGCGGCAGGCACAGGCGACCTTACGTTGTCATGGTGATCGATGGTGTGTGTTGTTGTTGTTGCAGTGTCCGTTCGGCTGCGGCAGCTCGGGTCTGGCGGCCGACGAGTCGTGCGACAAGCTGATCGAGTATGGCGACGGACAGGTGCTGCGCATCCCCGCCGTCAGGGACGTCGGCAGCCACGCACAGGTAAGCACGCACGCACACACGCACACACACACACACTCATGCACGCACGTACGCACGCACCCACACACACGCACACGCACGCACACGTACGCAGGCACACGCAGGCACGCACGCACGCAAATGCTTTTTGTAAGAAAGATGACAGAAATGATGATGATAGTAATCGTAGTAATAATAATAATAATAATAATAATAATAATAAAATAACAACAACGCGTAACGGTTAGAATAATCTCGTTTCGCGCGCCCTCTGTCGGCAGGTAGTTGACGGCATCGTCGACCTGTGGTTGAACTATTCTCGTCTGCTGCGCTGGCTGGACGCGGCGATCAGCAGCGTGCGCGACGAGTTGCCCATCGCTCCAGAGAACCTGCTGCCGTACTTACGGCGTGTCGGCGGCAACAGACGAGGCTCGCCCGCCGGCCTGCTCGAAATACTGCGCAACTATACACAGCGCATCGTCGCCGCAACGGTAAGTCATCCCCCGCCACGTCACGTGCTGCCGGGGTTAAGGTCGGGATCAAAGTCAAGGTCATGGTTGGGGTCGGGGTCAGGGTGAGGGTGAAGGTTACGGGTAGGGATTGGGTTGGGGTTAAGGTCAAGGTGAGGGTGAGCGTGAGGGTGAGGGTTGGGTTGGGGTTAGGGTTAGGGTCAGGGTCAGGACCAGGGTTAGGGTTGTGGTTACACGGTTAGCGCTAGGGTTATGGTTAGTGTTAGGGTCAGGGTTAGGGCTAGGCTCGTATTGAGTTCGAATTATTGTTAGAATTAGTGCCAGAGTTAGTGTTAGGGTTATTATTAATGTTAACGTTAACGTTGGATTCAGATTCGGGTTAGGATTAGTGTTAGAGGCATTTTCCATTAGTCCTTCTATCTTGACAGTCAGATATAGCTTACACCGACGTCACTCGCTGCACGCCCCTGTACTCAACCTCTATTCATATCTCTATATGTCATCTGGGATGACACAGTCTTCCGCTTTCTGAAATAAGACCCACTTTGTCCGCAATACACTCCTTCCCGGCCGCCCCAAAGAACACCGCGGTATATTCCTACATCTTACATGGCAGCCTAGAAAGATACGCGCGCACGCAGTGTGGTAACCAACCACGCAGTGTGGTAACCAACCACGCAGTGTGGTAACCAACCACGCAGTGTGGTAACCAACCACGCATCGCTCCCGCTGACGAATGAAACTATATTTATCATATTTACTATCACTGATTCATCGACCGGAAAACCGCAAATCTTCATATCCGCTGTCGACATCTCCACAGGGTACCCCGCAACACCACCCACCTTCCTCCCCGCTTCCCCTCCGCCTAGCTAGCACGTTAGCGGGGCTACTAGAGCGAGATAACGTATCGCAGGCGAGTTCAGAAAGTAGGAACTATGTGTTTACGGAGCTATAGCTGACCTGCTGCTGCTGCTGCTGCTACTGCTGGTGCTGCTGCTACTGCTGCTGCTGTTGCTGCTGCTGCTGCTACTACTACTACTACTACTACTACTGCTGCTGCTACTACTACTACTACTACTACTACTACTACTACTACTACTACTACTACTACTACTACTACTACTACTACTACTACTACTACTACTAGCT